ATGAAAAAAAGACTTCTTATGACTAGAACCAAGTGAAGTGTAACTGAAAGGAAGAGAACTGTGCAGCCCAAACACTGGTAGGTCCAGGATCCCAGAGAGGGTCAAAAAGACAAGCACAGACATTCCAAATGTGAAAATCAAGTGATACACTGGCAGTTTCAGTCATTTCATAGTGTGATTAGAGTGTGATGCCATTGTCACAATATATGGAGAGTTGGCAGGGAAAAATAACTTAAACGTGTCTGTTCCTTGTGAAAGGACAATTAAGCCTCAAGTTTAACCTTCATTTGCAATAGCTGTTATTAAGCTTTTTATCACTTGTTCTATAAATCCTATCATACATTGCCTAACTAAATAATTAAAAGTGCAACACACGCCACTTTGAAATTATCTTGAATTTATTATTATAACTGCATACATAATACAGAAGACATGACAGTGTTCAATGCTTTGTGTACCTTTCCTTCACTTTGTTCATCTATCATCCAGTTCCTGTTCTTATAAAACTGTTTGGGTTCCAAATTTCATAACTTAACAGTATATCTGTCTCCACAAAACAAAATCAAGTTTCAAAATGCTGATCTCTCAGTTTAAAAATGGAAAATAATTTCAAGATGTATGTTTTGATTTTAGTCTATATGCAGCTGGTACCTATCAAGTTATTTTACGCATAGTTACTGCTTGATAAACTTTGTAGACCATGACTGCCATCATTTTCATTTAGCTCATACAACTGTATGAAGGTCTGTGAAATACTACCAGCTCAGAGTGTTACATACAAATTGGTAGTCATATTCACCAATGTATTATGATTTAGGCTGATGATTTGTGCTGCTGAGATCAGTTCAATGTTGTATTTCCACTGTGTTCCATTTTGAGCATCAATAATGTCTACAGTAAATGATTGTACTAGCGGTACACAGTCATAATACGGGAGCCACAATGTTTTAAAACCTTCATTTTAGAACATGATCAAAACAGTAAGTTACTGTTCTCCTGTTGCTGCCCTCATAATCCATTCAATCACAGAATTTTGCTGCAACTGCTTTTAATTCTGTAAATAATCATTGCCCAGCTATGTAAATTTGTTCAAGGTGATTACAGCAATGGAATGAATCAAAAAGACAACATTCAGTGGAGGTCTGACTTAGATAGTTCCTTCTATACATCCAAAGCTATAAATAACTAGGAAATAATGCATGAAAAAAAAATAGCTTAAAGGGTTTCATTTTCTAATACAAAAAAATGTTTTTCAGGCAGCTAAATCCATAGGGGTCCAATACAGATTAAGTTCCATCCATATGGACAAAAATTCAGTTTAAGCAGAAAACAGTTTACATCCTTTCATTTCATTCAAGACAGTGCTAAATGTTAAAAGTACTGTGTCATGAGGAAAACTATCACACATGAAGATGAATTTCCTTCCATATTCATCAAAGCTATCCTCTATTCCTTTGCAAATTTCAGTCATTATTTAGTTTTTAGCAAAATAGTGACATGCTTTGACTTGTTTAACAGGTGAAATGCATTTAAACAAAGACATTCTGTGTTGTAAGAGTAAGACTCTGGCAGAAGTTCATTAGGGTAACTGGTTAAGTACATGGTCACACAAACTAGTTGTGTTAAACTAGTGCTTCACTGATTTGGCATTGGTCTTGCAGAAATTTACACTAAGACTCTAGAATACATCGCAAGAGGGTAATCTACACAATTTGTTGATGCCTGCATTAGAACTTCAAAGAATGCTGTATTTTTTCTGCCAATGCAATGTTGACTGTTCTCATGATTTAATCATTCTTTGTATGAATGGGTAAAAAATATATTTATACTTTATGGTATAAGCATACATTTGCAACACGTTCATATCTTAAGGACCAGTAATGTTTCATAATTCATTGGAGAAGAGATACAGAAGATATTAAAACTTAAAGGCAGAAGAGGCATGGAAGCTTGCAAAGGAAAAAGAGAAAAAGTCAGGGAGGACAAGAAGGTCTATAAATGTTCACTTCCTTATCGTAGTGTTTTGAAGGGTGATCTTTTCCTACATATATGAATGCCTAAAGACAATGAATCATCAAAATTCTATCTTTATGGTGTGCATCTACCACACTGGCTGAACCACTCTCAACTACAAGAGGAAGAAGAAGGGTCAAGTTCAATGCACAGTTCCATAGCTGGGGTTCGGGGGACAAGCGTGGCACCCTGCTAGAGGTCCCCTGATTTCTGGTTGCAGTTAATGCAGACTCGCACAGGGTGGTCCCAGCCTCGCGAGGGCACGGCCCTGCGTTCCGGGGAGCAGTCATCGCACACCCCCTGCCCGCAGGCCCGGCAGTGGTGCTTGGACAGCTTGGCTGTGAACTCCCGCTGGCAGTGATGGCAGCACAGGATGTCCTGGTCTGGGACCCAGTACGCAGGCCTTGCGGCATCCTTCACTAGGCCTGTGGATCACAAACACCATGAACCAAAGAGCACTCTTTGTTACTCAACAGTTCTAGGAATCCTCCATGGAAACGTACTTAACGTGCTGTGCCTGCTCTCTCATTTTGAAAACATATCAAATAACTCAACTATGGCTCTATAGATTACTTTACTTTTTGGCCATTTCTATGTTGAAATCTTAAAACCTATTCTGTTTTGCATTAAAATTCTGCACAGTTTAATTTCAGCACACAGTCAAGATGAATTTGTCCACCTAAAATTTGTAAGTTGCGGTTTGAAACATATAATGTATAAACGTATAATGGTGCCCTAACTGGAGGACAGGTGGAGTCACAGGCATGTTCACTGGTCATTTTCCCATCACCAGAACCACAAAACCTATATATAACATAGATCTTTTATGTCAGAACACTGTGCATGATGCAAGTAGCTTTATAAATTCAGACGACGTAATGACCACTTACCTAATGGGATGTCTATTGCAGTGACCACGGCTCCCAGAGTATTCTGTACTGCTTCCCCTACTTTCCTGGCTATGAGAGTTCCACCTTCATCATCCTCCAACTCGGCCTCTGACAGATCTGGTGGACACACAAGTGCAAAACAACAGCCGTCACCTTCGAGGCAGAACTGCCACCAACAAGAGTTCTCTGTACTTTTTATTGTTTGTGAAAAAACAACGAATGTAAAAAATGTTTATGAGGTCCAATCAAATATTCAAACACTCCCAGTCTAAAGTGTTAAAACCTTCACATCCGTGAAAAACTGAAAATGCATACTGGAACCACATTTCATAGCTGGCTTAACTACTTTAGTCTTGACTTGAGAAGCAGCTTAGGATGTGTTACTGGTGAAACGCTTCTAAATACTGAATGGATCCATCACCTTCTTTTGTTCATTACTTCGTACCTGGCCGGATGCCTCTCTGTTCGAAGCAGGAGTCACAGACACGGACAGGTGCCAGTCCCCAGCCTCTCTCTGGCACAGGTCTGGATTTGGCAGAACAGCAGTCACAGAATCCTTCTCCGCAGGCCCGGCAGTGGTGCTTGGTGTCATTATCTTGGAACACCAAGCTACACTTGTGGCATTTCTAACAAGGTAGAAAACATCAGTTCTAACCAATCTGTCCAGAAGAGATCCCCAAGAACTAATCTACCAAGAATAATATTCAAATACTGCAAAGTTTGTACCGATTTACCCCAAAAGTCTTGTGGCTGTAATTGTTGCCAAAGGTACCTCCATGAAATATTGAGCTCACGGATCCAAATACTTACTTTCAGATCTGAATAATTACTTAATGCAATTAACAGGTTTCAGTTGTTTTCTTTAGTTTCTGCTATCACTTACTGATCTAACCTATCTTAAACTTAACCTTAGATCACAGACTTAGAATTCAAATTTTAAAATATTAAAAAGACTATGTATCATTCTGTAATATCCCCAAATGAGTCTCAATATATTCAACAGGCCTGTAGATCTTAACGAATTAAATCTTAACTGTGTTTTAATGCAAAGTAACACCTCAGAACAACAGATGCATGATACCACATTAAGCATTCCGATACATGTACTGTATCTGTGAGCAACTGTGGACACTAAATGGCACACTTTTTTTAGAATATGACTTGGGAAATATAATTCAATTACTTTTGACTTAAGCTGTGAACATATTTAAAATGTTCAGTAAGCCATTTTGTCTGATATAGTCATTGCTTGGTACAGTTTGGGATTTTTTATTGTATGCAAAAGATGTCCAAACCTCTCTGAAACCTTGTCTTTTAAACTTTATTATCAAGTCCTAAATCACAAGTAAGAAAAACAAAAGGTCAAGTTATAATCTACTGATGAAAAAACATGGAATGGCAAGAGTTTGTAAAATCAGTTCATTTGTAAAAAAAAAATGCCCAGGTTACAACATAATTTACTTCACAGTTCAAGACAAATTGAATGCCGTTACACCCTGCTCACCAGGATCAGCGAGTTAGGTTTCCAGTAGGCTGGGGCGATCTGATCTGTTAGCCAGGAGGTGACTGCTTTGGCAGGCTTGACACTCAGCTCGGAGACGGACTGTGCCATGAAGTTCACTCCATCCAACAGCCTCTGAGCGGCATTGTTGTTATCCTTCAGGAAGCCATCGGACTGAAAAGAAAAGGCTTTTGTGAACACAGGCCCCACTCCTAGGGGGAAGAATGGAATACCCTACCTAACAGCTTTTCTACTGGTACAAGTGTGTCTTTTCATAAATCTCTGCAAATGTTTAAGACTTTCTGGTGAGGAATGCCCTAAAACACGCATAACCAATGCAAATCTTACATAAGATAATACAGGGTAAATTAGATTAACAGTTTACATAACTGAATGATGTACAGAAATCTTGAAATAACAAAAAGCCTAAAAAATGTTGAGACTTTTTTCTAAATTAAATGTGCCTTACAGTGACCCAAGGGGCTGGCATTTATTTGTCCTAAAAAAATACAGTGCTTTCCAGTTGTATTCATACCCCGATGAAACAGGAACAAAAAACATCAGACACCAGAATTACTTATGGACTGGATAATGTTACTCACTTTTAAAAAAATCTAATAATATTACACAGTGATCATAATAGCTTTGCACAGGACAAAATAATATTTTTTATAAATAATTAATTGAATACCAGAAAACAAGATGGGCACATTTATTTACACCTCTGTGTAGTCTTTTAAATACACTTGTACAATAACAATCTTTTGTTTTGGAAATGCAATGGAAGTCTCTGGAACTGTAATGAGAGCTCCAAAGATTTCCTGGTTTCCCTGAGGCATAAAAGGGGCTAACACAAGGAAAACATTCGTTAGCAGTATTCATGCATCATCAAGGTCAGAGAGCTCTCTCAATATGCTGCCAAGTAGTTAGTGATCTCCACAAGGTGGAGGATGGCTATAAAAGAATTCACAAAAGCTAAATCTACCACTTTATACTGTAATGTCCATTTGATATTTTGCCAAAATAGGCAATTAAATTAGTCACTGGAGGGCAACTGTAAATGATTTCAAAGGCAACAGTTGGAGATATACAATACACACTGGGATCTTCAGGATACAGAGTGCTGAAAACCACCACTGAGAGTTATTCACAGCTGGACTGCAAGGAAGAAGTGTCTTCTGAGGGCAAGTCACAAAAACGGCAACGCGAATTTGCCAAATGTCCTTCGAATAATAACTGAAACAATGTCTTATGGACAGCTGAAATAAAAATTGAACTTTTTGGACATACTAATCAGTATTATGTTTGGTATAAAAAGATAAAGTTCATGGTAAGGAAAGACTCATACACATTATGAGGTACTGTAAGGTGTTACATTATGTTTTAGGCTTGTTTGGAATCCAGAGGTGCTGGAACCCTTGTCACTATCGAGAAAATCATGAACTCCCAACACATACCTGGACATTTTGACCAAATACATCGTTCCTTCTGCCAAGAAGCTCAAGCTTGGCCAAAAATGGACATTCTAGCATACTGTAGCAATCCCTCAAGGCATACACTACGTCCAAATCAACACAGGAATAGTTCTGCACACAATGTTCTTGACTGGCCATCTCTATCTCCTGGTCTAAATCCACTTGAATATTTGTAATTCTAACTCAGGGTGGCTGTTCTATGAGAATCTTAAGGAGCAATTATCAGAGCAAATATTCATTAATGTACTCTCTGCAGTGTCAGAATCTCCAAGCACACTACAGGAGGCATCAGATCAGTGTAATCCCTGCCACATAATACTCACTACTGAATAGTTAGAATAGTTAGAATAGAATAAATGTGACCTTTCTGTTTTCTGGTCTTAAATTATTGATGACAAATATAACTTTGCTTTTGGCAATGCTATTATGATAACATAAACAGTAACATACAATACCCACTGGTCAGAAACAAGCTTTATAACATTGACAATGTGGTTTTGGACAAATGTCTTTAAACTACTGCATACTGTTATGCATACTGAGTTACTCTTTCCTACCCCAGGCCAAATGTGCTGAATTTCTGTACGAACAACAGTGTCCACAGGATCCATGTTGCCAAACCAGTACTGTCGGCTGCGGTAGATGACAGCACAGTTAGGACACTCGATCACGTACCTGCAAGCACAGCAAGGTTAACATCTGAGTTGCTCTGCATATTTCTCAAATGAGCATTAACTTACTGTTGAGCAAGTATAGAGGAAATAAACAATTAGGGAAGAAGAATATACTAAATATTTTTTTCTTTATTATTATGTATCAAGGCTTTGTCTTTCTGCCATTCCTAACATTATTGAAATAATGCGCATAGAATGTTGCCCAACCCCCTTACTTGAGCCGTGCAGAAAAGAAGAAACTCACCCAGACCAGGCGTATCTGGCCAGACCAAACCAGGGAGAATCTGACGACGCAGACGTCTTGGGAACGACAATCACCTCCTTCCCAGCTTCATAGCATGCCTGCACATCACAATAGCAGCCCACAGCACAGGACATTCATCAGGGCAACAGATCCAATTTGATTTAGAAACAAAATGGTTTCTAATTGACTAATATGACGCCACATTCTAAGACACGGTTTTCCAAACATATTCCTGGAGGACAAGTCTCTATGATATTTAATGATATTTACATATCAATAATTTATTAGCAAAGAGGCAACTGGAGCAACCATACAGCCCTCATTTGTTACCCCTCTTCTTCTTTTATTCTATTATATAATCTATATGACAGTATAATGTTGCTATTCTGGGTTTCCAAACAAACAAGCAACATGTTCCAACATTTACTCCTACCACACATGCTATGAGTCCACATTCCACGTCAAAACAAAAAAGATAAAACTGCATCAATGTCTGTACAGAGACCTGCAATCTCTGATGGGTCCCTGTTCACACTCACCTTGCAGGTGAAGACTCTGTTGTCATATTGCGCAGAGTAACGACAGCGATGCTTGGCTTCGTGAGGCACCCCCTCCTTCATGTGATTCATGCTATTCTTGCAGCCAGATCTGACATGAAAGACCCATCACTAAAGTGAGGAAGGCCCTTTCTGGACTAGTAAAATACAGATTCAATACCAACGTATCATCTAGTCCACAACAATCAAATATCATATCACACTACTGTATAAACACAACATGATTTTTGGTCCAGTCACATTAACGTGAAGAAAAAAGAAGTTATGACACTAAGACACTCTTTTTTTAAATGGAAGATATTGTGATACCTTCTTTATTAAAGGGGAACTGCAACTGCATTTTTATGTTTTGGGGTTTGAAAGAAGAATCAACATTGATGAGTGCATTTCAAACCAAAATTAAAGTAAAATGTACACAGTAACTTGTAGAACCTCCAATTAACATAATAAAACATTTAGGTTTTCAGGCTACATTTCCAGGTATTCACAGCACCGTGTTCTGAGATTCAGAATGAGCCAACAAAACCTCCGGTGATGTGTTGCAGCCATATGACATTGTAAACAAACAGGCCTGTGAATACAGCTCTTTTAATCCAACAGAAATATTGTTTTCGATTTCAAGATGGTTTTGCAGACTAATATAACTTACTTGTGAACTCTGCATACAGATCACGTTGGAACATGTCTGCAGTGAAATATCTGCTGCACAACCTGTACTTATTTGCTCGTACATCACATTACATTAGTCATGACAGTGACTAGTGAGCAGGAAGGGTTTCTTCATGTCGCAATTCATGGGAAGTCGAATGCGAGTTTGCAATAACATGGCAACTGACAATATTTTCACAAGGTTCACAAATTTGTGCTTAATTCAAAATTTAATAAAATGTTCCTATAACGTCAATTAATTTATTTTGTTGCCAAGATTTAATAACTGGTCAGAAGAATTGGGACTGAAGTTACCCTTTAAGGTAACTGATTTACTGTCTTCAGTTTTCTTTTTTGAATGCTAACTTTCAACAACAAACCATAAAACAAAAGGAAATAAAAAGGTTAACCTATGAGCTATCTGTGAGATCAGTGAAGTCCCTGATCTATCTAGAAACCCTGGCAATGTTAAGCTTCTAATTGAAAAACAGGCCCTACAGGCTAAAACCACAGCAAGAGCTGATAAACATGAGTTAACTAACGATGGATAACATCTTCCAATTCAGTTCATCAAATGAAAATGAAGATCTGTTCAGATAATGAGTGGCTGAACCAAGCTCCACCATTTCTGACCTCATTAACTTAGAGAAAACACCATGCTACACATTTCTCATGAATATCTTAGTAACGGCTGAGTTTTAGCTCAACATGCTGTACAACCTCCCACTGGAGTCTGTTTGTGTTAATCCTCTGGAAAAGCACTGTAAATGGGTAGCATTACATCAACATAATCTCTACTCATGTACAACTATTTCACAGAACAAGAGGAGAAGACTCACCCACAACTGAGGCAGAGGCTGGAGCAGGTAAAGTATTCATCAGGGAAGAAGGAGCTATGAGCCAGGTAATCATCAGGAATCTCCCCATTGAAACGTTCACTGAGAGCCTAAGGACATTAAAAATATTACTGATCCACTAGTACCGTACATCTACATATGACCTTGTGTAAGTCATAAAATATATTACTGACAAAACATATACCACTATAACACTAACTAA